TGCGTCATTCTGCCCCAGTGCAGATATTACTGTAGCAGTAACTGCATGGACACATTAGTGCAAAGTATATGAACCCCTAATCATCCCCTACACCATATTTTACTTTGCAGAAATACAAATGATTATGAACAGACTGTTAGCTCCCAGTTGCTTGTTTTCACAGTACCTATGGATTCTGTGTGTGAACACATCCCAGAACACTTCCCGTGATTTGAATCATGAAGGGCCGGATTTTACCTCATACCTCTTACTTTAAGCACAGACTTCCTCAGCTAACAGCACTTCTGGTTTCCAAGGGTCTGGAAGGAGGCACCACACACAGCAAAGAGCAGAGCAGAGATTGCTCAGGAAGCCAATCAGTTCTGGAAATGTTTCTGAGCAACTGCAGCAAGAGTTCTTTTGCTCATTCCCGAGACTCATCACTAATTGTCTGGAAGTTTGAGCCTGCTTAAATCCTTACAGAGAAAATGACAGATTTCAGCTTAATTAGCTTTTGTTTCTGTGAGTGCACACAAAGCAGTGCTGCATGTAATCTCTTACTGAGCAAGTGGCTGCAGAAAGGAGCTGAAGGGTTTCTTCCTTTCTTACACTGCCTCTGCTAATGAACCTGGTTAATCAGGCAGCCTGTGTAGAGCACCTCTTCTCCTGCAGGAGCTGTAAGTGCTTTACCAGCTGGAGGCAGGACCAGAGCTGGGACGTCCTGGCAAAATTCCCACTTACTTCAATGGGACCAAGATTGATCCTACATGAGATATTATCAAATGCAGCCACCTGTGGGGAGGGAGCGGGGGAACCCAGCAGCTGTTTAGCAGTGCACAGGAACATAGAAATGAGAGTTCAGGCTCGGAAATGAAGAATACCATATCCAATTGCAACTGCAGGTGGAATGGAGGTAAGCAGAAGGCAATTGCTGCAGTTGGGATTTGGAGTGGAGTCAGCTTTCAGGCCTGCAGTACCCTGGGACCTTTTCAGCGAAGGGTCAGAAGCATAGAGGTCTAATGGACACAGCATGGGATTGGGAAGCAGACATCCTTGAGTGCACCAGTGTGGATGTCCTTGGAAATGACATGCTGACCGTCTGCTAACAAAATATCCTCCTTGGCCTTTAATAAATCCTGTGAAACACAGGGGGCTGTTCTGAAGAAAAAGAGGTGACCGGTGAGCCTATTTTTTTTTTTTTCCCAGCAATTTCCCTCTCCCTTTAACAATGGAGGAAGGCTACACTGCTTCATTACAAAAATGCACAGCCCTTCCTTCTACCCAATTATCCCCATCCTGAAAACATTCTGAAGGGCAGGAAACAGTCACCCTCCCTTAAAGCCAAAAGTGCTCCCGAGACTGTCTAGGATGGTTGGGTGATCTGTTTGTCTTGAGGGCAACTCCAAACTACAATGACAGTGCAGTTTTTAAGGAAAACGATAGTTGCTCAATGTCTATAAATGCATGCATTAAAAAGCTATTATTGAATTTAAATTAATAACTATGAACATGCCTATTGTGTACTGCTTTGCACATACTAATCCAAATGGCTCAGGTCCATGGCTTCTTAAAGACATTTTTGTAGACTTAGTCTATTGGTTGTAAGCGTATTCTCCATGAAGGCTGAACCTCTGACAGCCCTTATCAAGGTAAACCTGTGGTGGTTTTACCATGCTGGGCAGCTAAACCCCACAACCACTCTCTCACTCCCCCTCCTTTAGATGAGTAGGGGGAGAAGTAAAGCAAAGAACAACTCACGGGTTGAGATAAGGATAATTTAATTAAAGGGAAATAATAATAATAATTAAATAAAGACTACCATGAACTAAACAATTTAACTAAGGGGAAATAAAAAGGGAAAGGGGAAAAGGGAGGGGGAAAAGGGAAAAATAAAAAGAAGGGAGGAAAACAAACAAAATAAATGAAGGCTATATGGAAGTGCAGAGGAAAGAAATTACTCTCTACTTCCCACAAATGAGCGATGATTGGCCACGTCCGTGAAGCAGGGCCTCAACGCACGCAGCCGGTGTTGAGAGGAAGACCAACATTTTCCCAACGAGAGCCCACCCCTCCCCTCTTCTTCCTGTTTCCACCTTTTATTGCTGAGTGTGACATCACATGGTATGGAATATGCCTTTGATTGGTTTAGGTCAGCTGCCCTAGTGATGTGTCTCTCCTCACTTTTTGCCCACCCCTTAGGAGGGTTAGAGAAAGGCCCAATGCTGTGCCACTGCTGCTCAGCAGTAGACACAACACTGGTGTGATAACACTGCTGTTCCAGCTACAAGTACAGAGTACGGCACTGTATGGGCTGCTGCCGGGAAAGTTAACATTCCAGCCAGACCCAGTACAAAACCTTATGAATTAAGATGCTTTAGGTTACTGACCTTGCATTAATACCCAAGCTGCTTCATTTCCATGAGACATGAAGCAGATTTTGTTTCTTTGAAAGCTCATGTTTACTCTGTAGTTTGACATAGGTTTAAATAAGAAGTCGAAACTCAGTACTTGTCTTTTATTATAGTATGAACGAAATATACATTTTTTTGTGTTACCTTTGCATATAAGATTTAAATCTCTAGTAAAACAGCAGGCATGGCAAACACATAGCTTATTATCAGTTTTAAATGATACTTCAGTCATCATTTTAACTTAATTAGCTGCAGCATTTACAAATACATACACTTATTATAAAAAAAAAAAAAAAAAAAAAAAAAAAGCTGTATTACTCTACAAATAGTTACATTAAAGAATGAAATTGAACCCCACTCACAAGGTCAGCCTGAGTACCACTTATGCCTCACAATTTAAAAAAAGATTATATATGGCATATAATTCCTGTGCTGGGGTTTGGAAGGAGTGATGAATTTTACCTTAGGAGAAAATATAGTCTTTATTGGTCAAATGTGAGGTATTAATCATAATCCTTATCAGCAGTCCATTTAGTGTGACTTTTCATTTTGTAATTTGGAGATATGCTTTTGTAATCTCTTCCTCTCTCCCCAGCCAACATACATCCTGAGATAGTCACTGGGGGAGAGAGGAATAGAGATACATGTATCATGAAAAAAAAAAAAAAAAAAGTAAACATTTGGAGATAATCTGTTCTCACTTGTATTTTCATAGATTTGTATGGTTTGTATCCAGTTTTTACAGCTGAGATATGTTGACAGGCAGTCTTAAAATGTGATTATTGCAGTTCATTTCTATGGAATAAGTCCTTGATGGAAGCCACATATAGTCTCAGAAAGAGAGCATGAGCATTTTTTGATGCTGCTTTTTCAAGTTTAAGTACACATGAAAATATGAAACATATTTCAGTTCCATTTAAAATTTCCCAGTTTTTCTTGATTTTTTTTCAGAGATGTGAAAGTATAGGTTTAAAAAAAAAATCTTGTCCTACAGAGAAACATTTTAATAAACATTTTAAAATAAAAGTTCAATTAAAAGAAAAGGAAAATAAATTTAGAAAGTGGAAATTTGCAAAATTCTGTTCGTTCTTTTTCTATTTTGATATTTCTGGAAAATGATGGATTTAATAATGAACCTAATAAGAGCTTATATTTTCTGGATCTGTTTATACCAAAAGCATTTCATAATTTAAATAAATATATACCTTTTTAAAATCTACTCTCTAATTCAGTCTATGCAAGATAAACGACCTTGTGGTCTTTGTACATTTTAGCATACTCATTCAACCCATCAGACTTTGTTCCCTGCAAATGTACTATGCTGTTTCCATATCAAAATATCTGCCCAAGCCTTCTGTTCCTCTTACTGATTTATCAGATGAAGCACCTTCAGAACATGTCTGGCTTTGGACATGGTTCCTCTTAGTAGCAGAAGTAGCATGAATAAAATGGGAAGTGAAGGGAAGGGAAGGGAAGGGAAGGGAAGGGAAGGGAGGGAAGGGAAGGGAAGGGAAGGGAAGGGAAGGGAAGGGAAGGGAAGGGAAGGGAAGGGAAGGGAAGGGAAGGGAAGGGAAGGGAAGGGAAGGGAAGGGAAGGGAAGGGAAGGGAAGGGAAGGGAAGGGAAGGGAAGGGAAGGGAAGGGAAGGGAAGGGAAGGGAAGGGAAGGGAAGGGAAGGGATAGCCACAGCACTAATATACCAAAAAATAAGATATGTCTAGGATCATTACAAATATCACAGCCATGTATGGCTGGACAGATGACTTCCTTGGTTTGTACTGTTTGAAACTATTAACCAGCAGTCCATATCAATCAAACAGATCACCTGGAAATGTTCTGTTTCTTATATCACATGGAAAACCTTATACTTTAAAGCACTAAAAACTTTGATTTTAAATTGAAGTGTTATACACAGTAACCACATAAGCAAAAGGAAAAAGGAGAGCTCTAAGCAAGTCCCAAAAATTTCCTTTGTAAATGCAAGCCTATCTGGTCTCTAATTTACCTCTCGGTATTTGGTTTACATCTGCAGCTCTATACAAAAGCTAATGCTTAGGAAAGTCATTGTCTGAAGGCAGATTGTGATACTGTGACTTGTGGGGAGGTTTATATGCTGAGGAAATGCAGATCCTGCAATACTTCTCCATTGTGTCAGGGTTACCTGACACAGCAGAGTCTCAGACGTAGCAGAAAATGGGCTTAACTGGTGGAAGTTAAAAACAAGCAAGTAAAAATCCATCCTTGCTACAGCTGTCAGAACAGATGTTTCAGCCTCACATTGGCAAGTGATGATCTCAAGATTATAATTTGTTATGTATCCTTACCTTACCAAGAAAAGAAAAACAAATACTGAAGTTCCTGACACATTTAAGGGCACTCACTATTTTGATATACAGAAATAAACATCTTACAAATCTGTCTTATAATTGAACTTAGAATTTTTAATTGAACTCTTATCTTGTGCCTTTTTTTGTTACTGTAATTAACTTATTTTATGAACCCTGAAAACTGGATTACAACTGCAAAGAATGTCACACTTCAGCTAGCTACAGAAGCTTAGTTCAGGGTCATATTAGAAGCACTATGGTAAAATACTACAGTGAAGACCATTATTGTTTATAAAATGTAACAGAATATATTAGAGAGACACGTGGGCTTAATTTTCCATTCACATAAATGTCATTCCTTAGACCCCCACATCTCAACTACAAGAGTATGCAAGAACCGGGCCAATATACTGTACCAGATAACCCATAGCTTTGGCTGTTTGACTACTAGACTGTAAATAGAGTATAATCTACTTAGGCTGTGATTTGGTTCCAATACGATTTTAATCTTTGTTGTCAGTGGGAGCCTATCTGAACCTTAGCTCTAAAAATCATATTTGTCTTTTTCAATTACACTCTATTACAAAATGAACATAACACATTCAAATATGTCCTGGTATACACATATGCTCATGTGACAACACTTTAGCAAAATCAATTTCCATTAGTTTCTATTAAATATTGAGATATTATTATGAGACACATGGACTAATTATACGAATAATGAGTAAAAATAACAAACAATCGTTATCTGAAATTTTAAATGTAGATCAATATGTATAATGGATATATTAAAGACTTTATAGCATTTTAACTGTAGGGAAAGTCATGACTTTCAGAAAAGCACATGAACTAAAGGAAAGTTGTAGCGTCTAACCTAATTACTGCATTATGAGTGACATGAGGACCAGGTCTAAAATCTACTTATGAATTGGAAAGCATTCACATTCCGAGGTTGATACCTCAAGCAAGTGTAAGTTAAACTGTTTGGAGAGGAAAGTATTTGCTTAATGCATGAACACACATTCACACCTGTTGGAACAGTTTCCAGTAACGGAACTACTTTATCACAATAAGTGTTAATACTTTATTCCTTTTTCTGCTAATCCCATTTTCTGTTTTATTTTAACCGACTGCAAGATTGCTACAGAGTTTAGGGCCCTGTTGAGCTTTAAAGATTATGTCAGTTTTCAGCATTTTTATAACTATAGATCACATTGTGCTAGTAATTCTAGCAATCTGTTTAAAGCCACTGCAGTTCAGTCAGGCACTGGCCATTTTCTGAAGCAGGATCAGTGGGCAGGTTTTGTTGAAGGAAAAGATAATGTATTAATAACTGGACTCCTGGATGAATGAATCCATAAATAAATATCTATGTTGTATAGTATGCACTAAGGGAGCTGCTTAAAACCTGCAGTTATTAAGGTGGAGGCAACTTTTTTTTTCCACTGTGGAACAAAACTTTGTTCAACTTCTTTTTACTAGGCTCTTGCAGGAGGCAAGGCTCAGTTTCATTTTAACTATGAGCCTGTTGTTGCTCATAGTACTGCTCGTAGCAACCCAAGCAATATCCAAATCATTAGTTTGAAATTTAGTTAGGTTTAGGTTTTAGCCTTTATATTATACACAAGATGATTATTTATTTATTTATTTATTTATTTATTTATTTATTTATTCTGAAAAGAAAATTATACTTTCCAATCCTTTACTGATCTAGTTTCTAGTGTAGCTCATGCTGTAAACTCCTCTCTGGGCCTGCAGGTGGCTGAAAGACCCATGGTTCCTCCTGCTCCTACTGATGGGTTTGCATTATGGAGTCCTGCCTAACAAAACCCTGTTTTCTGAAGTGATCCTTGACATGTCCTATTCAATCCCTGGTCCCCAACATCCTCTGGCCTCCTTGGACATGTCAGATCTTCTGTGCATGAGAAACTGAGCTAGCCCTGACAGCTTTAGGATACATACCTCTTATCCAATGTATCAAAACAGAGACATTTATCAGTGCAATATTATTAAATATTCTCCTTGGGGTGGTATGAACCTAGTACAGGCCACTGGTTTGGAGGATATTGAATTTATTTCCCCATGATGGAAGTGGTCATATATCTCACTTGGGGTTTTATGTTACCCACACTGATGAGATAATTTCTTTAAGAAGAATCTCATTGCAACAACATTGGAAGTAAAAGAAATGAAAGTTGTTTTTTAGAGTAAAAACATTTTAATTCAACCATTTAAATCTAATGCTCCCAGCACTGAGACTCTTAGCCATTCAAGACTTCTACTAAAGTCAGTGAGGCGAGGATTCATTTTTAGAATACATACCCTCAGTTATATCTAAACATAATTCAAGTAATTTAGTTTTCATGAAGGACGTTAAAAAAAAAAAATAGAAGAACTGATTTGCTTCTAGGTGAACATGAGATGATGGTTTTCTAAAATTAAAATGCTGTCACCACTGGCGAGAAGAGTAGGCCCTTTGTCAGTGCATGTAAATGCAGACCACAGCCTTGCTGTGATTCCACTCATTTACTTAGGTATTAAGTAAGAGAAATGGGACTTTATGGACTGATAAAAATCTAATAAGGAATAACTGAGAAGGTTCTGTATGATGACAGTACAACCTTCCAGCCAAGAATATTGAGAATGCCAGTCATAGGGTGCTTTACATTTAGTAGTTTATTACCCCCCAAAACCTCCTTTAAGTAGTTGTAATTGGCCTTAAAATCAAGGTACTCAAAACCATGAGACTCCTGTGAAATGCCTGGCCTAAGTTATTTTGCAGCAAAAATGGCAAAAAAAAAAAAAAAAAAAGTTCTCGGCACATGCTCAAAGTACTGTACTGCTGGTTAGTGTCTTCAGCATCAGTCTTTCTGCTGATTAAAGGTCCTGTGCTGAGAAATTCCCTCCTCCCCACAGACATTATAGTATCTAGCACTCAGTGCTTTACACTATCAAAGCATTGTATGCATGCCATTTAGTATCTCCTAATTAACTCATACATCTCCTACAAAAAAAAAAAAAAAAAAAAAAAAAAAAAAACACTAAAAATTAATGACATATGGTATTGCTGGCTTTTATACAATACATGCAGACTCAGCTTTTGGTTTTTACAGGAAGCATGGGTAAGTTGAGTTCCCTTTCTGAAGTCTGACATACACATTGCTGTATCTGACTTACAACAGAAAGGAAATGAACAGTGATGAAAATGGTAGCTACACAGTTATCAACCCGGGACTGAATGTGCACACAAACACCAGCATGGGTAAGGGCAGCTTTCTGAAGCAATGCTCTCTGTTCCTTAATGAGGCGCACACCAATTACACGGATTTCCCACAGACTTTGTTCTCCTGATCTGTAGAATGCATGAGAAACGAGTAAAGTCTGTCATTTTGGTATCCATCAAAGCTCTCTTCCATGTGAGGAAGTGGCTAATTTGTCATTTCACACTCAAAAAGGCGTGAAAGGCAAAATGGAGGACGTTAGCTGGAAGAGAAGAAAGAAGGGCTGTGACTCATGAGAAGAGACAGTAGGCCTGATTTTGAGCTTGTGTTTGTTGCTGCATATCAGGAATAAGTTCAATAAAATCATACTGATGTCAAACAGACAAGAATGAGGCCAGGGTTTCCTGATTTAAAAAGATTTACACTCCTACAACAAAAATATGAATTGAGGAACAAGGAACATTTTACAAATGGAATCATGGTATACAGCAAACTTCTAACTTACAAGTTTTATTTACACTTTGACATCTTTTGATTTCTTTATTTATAATAAAAGTATTAATTCAGACAATGCAAATTTTCAACTTAAAAATACATAAGACCTTTGGGAGAAAATCCCAAAGAATACACACATCTGAGGAATGTCAGCTCTGTGTCAAGAGCACTGATCTCAGCCACTAAATATCTTCCCTCATCGTCATTTGTTTTAGCTTTCTTGTTGTCTTTTATTTTTCTTTTCCTCTGCATAAAATAAGGCTAGCAAAGGGCCAGAGAAACAGCCAGAGTACAACACTGAGAGGGACAGGAGAGGTGCAGGCAGGAATCCCATTATTTGTTAATAGGATTTGTGCACATACCTCCCACACACCACTTAGGAAATTTACTCCCAAGCATCTCAGTGGCAATTTCAATTAGGGTGAACATTTCATTTCAGCAGATGGACTGCAAACTGGTGGCTATCAAACTCTAATGAATAAGGCTTGATAATTTCCCTCTCTTAAACTCTGATTATGCTTTCTCTCTCTCTCTCTCTCTTTTTTATTTATTTTATTTTTTTTTTAATGGGGAAAATCAATGTAATCCCTAAACCAATACTTAATTTGATTTTTCACTGAGCCTCTCTATGCTAGCAAACCCCACCCATGTGCCTGTATACAAGCCCAATGGGTAAATTAGTGGGTATTTTTGCAGATCTGTCACACATTTCTACCGTGCTTCTTATTCAGAAAGATGCCAAAGAACTATGAATACATCTACCCTCCCCTGAAATGGATCCACCTCTGGGGTGGAACATGGCAGCAAATATTAACATGGGAACACAGACGCTAAATCCTATGTGAAAATTATGCAAGAAGTACAGAACACAGCTCACGTAGCCTCAGGCTACCCAGAAAATAGCTAAAAGTGTACATCTTTTCTTTTTAATGAATGCATTCAAAATTATTGCCTGGCATGTGGTACTCCAATAAGGAACATCTCATTTGGTATCGAATCCCATTGTACAGTCTTGTACAGATTAATAGTGATGGTGAGCTATCTGATTTCAGTAAGAAGCAGTACTAATTCATAGGCAAGATGCACAAAAACATAACACAGTTTTTTGTTTGTTTGTTTGTTGTTTTTTTTTTTGTGTGTGTGGAAAATGTCCTTTCTTTAAATAGTGTTTGCAAACTACGTAGATGGTGGCCTGGCCGGCTCATGGTGCCTTCGGTTTCGCTTTTTTTTCATCTCCTGCACATGCTTCCATTTGGCACCACCTTTGTTTCGCTGTCGCCGTTTCTCCCGGTGCCACATCTGTTCACAGTACTCATCCAGGCTAAAGCTGGGGCTGCTGACGAGCTGGATGTAGTCCTTGTACCGCAGCCGGGACTCTGTCAGCAAATCCCTCACCCGGCCATCCTCGTCCTCAGTTTTCTGAGTGCCTTCCATTTGCCCATTCTCAATGACATTTAAATTCAGCTTTACGATGGTGTGGACAAAGGTGTGTTCCTGGGCTTTGCAGAAATAGGCTCCTGCATCCCGTCTTTGCAAGCTGCGGATCAGCAGCCCATGCTCGGTTTTGATGATCCTTTCGTCTGCCTTCAGCTGCATGGTTAGACAGAGAAGAATGTGAATTGTGAATGTGAATTTCCTCAGAAAAAAAATAGAACATGCGTCAGTGCAATACCAAAGTGGAGACAAGGCAGGGCGGGCACACTGCACATCCTGTCGCACCACAAGATGGGGCATGCATGGCTCAGACAGATACCATGAGATCCTTTCAATTCCTGAGTTCTGCTCCTAACTATAGCATCTGCATCAGTGACATTTCAGCATGCATTAGTAAAAGATACACAGTGTACAGCTGAAAGGCCAGACAGCAGCACTCATCACACCAGAATGCAATAGATAGGCTGCATTCTCCAAGGAAGGTTAGGCGTTTAGTGCCATAAATCTCATTTGTTTTTTAACTGCTTTTCTTGAGGTATCCGTAATATATCCAATATATGGGGGTACTTGTATATCTGGAATGATCTGAGACATTATTGCATTGAAAATAATGTCTCATTATTACTGCTGATTTTTAAAGTGAAATGCTCTGATTTTTATCTTCTTCAACTGGGATTTATAAAAGGAAACTGATCCTGCCTTTGACTTACTGAGACATGCTTAAAAGCACCCAGTGAGGTTAGAAGAACTTACAGGGGAAAAAAAATAAAAAAATAAATAAAAAAAAAAAAGATTGTAAGTGAGAGCTGAAATCTGTCATCATGGAACTGCAGTTTCATTTATAAATGGAAATATTTCCAAAAACATAGCGTGATATGAAATGCTAAAAAATAAGTTGCACCTTAAAGTAATAACACTGTAAGATAAGTTACATATTTGGTGATCTGAAAATTACTTCCAAAATAACCTAACTCTGAACTAAACTAAACTAAACTAAAATTATATATATATATATATATATATAAATAAAATAAAAATAACATAAAATAGAAATACAATACAATACAATAAAAAAACAAGTTGGGCATTGGGCATCTAAGTATTTTTGCAGCTGGGGAACACAGAAAGTAAATGATTTGCCAAAGACCATATAAAGATTAGTAGCAGAGGTGTAAGCAGAAAGCAGAGCCCTAACTCCCAGACTCCAACACCAGCATTTCCTTTGAAAACAATCCTGTTCCAGCACAGAGCTGTCATCTCCCTGGCATGCGATGTTCTGCTGCCGCACAGAGGCTGCAGGCCACAACAGCACTGAAGGACCCGGGGTGCCGCTTACTCAGCCTGCAGCAAAGCCAGTGTCTTGATCACAGCCTGAGCGCTGCTGGTGGTACTGGTATAATGAAGAAAATCTTCTGCACAGGGCTGAGCACCGGCTTTAAAAAGAGGGGTGGGGGCAGAGAGAACCAACACAGAATCTGGAAAATTTCCCGGAGTGCACATCTGACCCTCCAACAGACTTCAGAGAATGAAGATCATGGAGGCATAAAGATGACTAAATTAGATTTATTCACAGTGGGTAAGCTACACACTGTTTCTTTATGTAAAAAATCTGCACACAATTCCCTCTTCTACTCCATGGGAAAAAAAAAAAAAAAAAAAAATGTATTTATACATATGATTCTCCATCTGTTATGATTCTAACTCACTGGTACTTTATCATAAGAGGGTATCTTGGAGCAAAAAGATGGATGAGGTGCCCTTCCCAGGGCTTTTTGCTTTCCCATTTTCTGATATTCTTTGATAAAGACTTTGGAAGGGTTAAATGATTTAAGAGACCTTTTCAAGATCAGCAGAAAATATAACACACGTGTATCTAAGTAATACATGAACAGAAAGAGAGTTTTCCTTGCTAGCCTGTATCAGCTATTACAATCTTCAGCAACCTATAGATTAGTAGATTAATCTACCTGTATATCTACCTATAGATTAGATATAGGTAGATATTGGCCTGTGTACTGCAATTGTTTTGACTGCATCAGAGAGGAGAAATCAAATGCTACAAAAACCTATGCTAGAACATGGCTCTGGCTGCCTGCTTCTGTGGCCAGGCATTGTTTGGATCCTGACACATGTCGATAGTCTTGTGTCAACCCTGAGTTTTAGTTTCTTTGTTTGTAAATTGGATATAATCATGCCCGTTGGCACCAGCAGGGTGAAATCATGCTAATTTCTGAAAATTCCTGGAAAATTGATTATTTTCTGACAACAGGTGCTACATGAGCACCAGCCATATTTGAATTACTATACGGAGTTCCAACTGGAGAAATTATGGTCAAAACAGAAGAACAGACACAGAAGATAGCAGGGAGACAGATTAGAAAAGACCAAATTTTCTCTTCCAGAAGCTACAGCATAATAGTCTTCAATTTTATCAGATACTGACACTTTGTCCCAAGTAAATGTACCTTTCTCATGGTTACAGTAAAAACAGAAAAAAAAAAAACAGAATCATAAAAGGTAAAAATGAACCCAAAGATAAGTAGCTGTAGGCAGAAGTATGTCTAGGGCAGGTGTTTCCTTGTGCTGTTGTACTCCACAAAGCGAAGCAGGAGCAGAGTCCAGGTGGAAGTGCTCAGGGGTTTGGCTGTTGCAACATGACAAGGAAGCCCCTCTTTTTTCTGCCCAGGCTTCATGCTAACAATGGAAAATCCTACAGACCCCCAGTTTGAGGAATTTAGGGAGAGGGATGGGAAGGTGAAGCTAATTTGCAGACATTTGGGTTTCATAAAGCTCTATGCAAAGACCCAGTTCCCACATTGTTTCAGTGAAAACGGGACAGACCTCTTTGAGCTCAGGGCTGGATGCAATTGCAGCGGTAGCATCTGCCTATCGTGGCTCTGCCAGTATTGTAGTCTAGAGTGCCTTGACAGCTGTGTACCTCCTACACTTGGAAGTGCTCCAGCTGGCTCTTTTGGCTGGCTCGGCACCAGGCCAAAAAGCCCTCACTAGTGCTTCGCTTATTTTCAGTGAAAGGAAGGGAGAATAATGGCATATCTAGACTTGAAAAGATGACTGGACCCCCAAGTCTAGCACCCTGCTACTCATAAGTATTTACCGTTTGTGTAGCAGCAGTCCCTTTCTAGTTGTAAATGTGTTAACTCAGAGAGTTGCCCCACTCTGCCTCAGGATACTGCAGAGAAAGCTAACAGAGGCTAAATTGGTTGTGTCCCTTAATCCCAGCCCATCACAGATTCTATTTTTAATGAAGCAGCATTCTTACAGAATGTCCTGTGTTAACCTTGGATATTGATTTACAGTGACTGTCACCTCCTTCTTCTCTGGGCCTTCATTGTTCATTCTTTTCTTATCCTCTGGTAGGATGAAATTATGGCTCTGATTTCACACGTATTGAGCAACACTTCATTATTGTTTTCCCCCCTCACTTCTCTTTTTGGTATCCTGTTTATGTTGTTTTACCCATAGGTTCAGAACTCTTCCTGTCTTTCCTCTCTACTTTTTCCCCCATAGGGCTCTGGAGTTTCATAAACACCTGGCATTTCATTACTTGGTAGTAGATCTTTAACCTTTCACTTGAATGTTTAATGTGCTCTTTGGTTCCTGACCTATAGATGTAAAACACATTTTATTAAATTTTGAGGAGAGTGAAAAGGCTACTTAGATTAAATACATCATTCTGTTTTGGTCAACTGTGGATTCTTCTCCCCCCCAGTTATAATCAATACCTCTCCTTAAATATTTATAAACAGGGTTTTAACAATTCAGAAGTACAACGGCTTTAATTCACAAAAAGCTTGCTGACATGCTTAAATTTCAGCATACAATAAAAATTAAACAGGAGAGAAATAGTTTTGTTCAATTGGGAACCAATTGTAAACCACAAAAAATGAAGCAATTGATTACCATTAACTTTCTTTTTTTACCGGAGTGGGAGCAGGTGTTTTTTTTTGTTTTTTTTTTTTAATATCTGAATTTTATACATTTTATTCTTTACGGTAGGCACTTGAGGTTTGAAAATTACACTAAATAAAGCATGGCACATGCCATAGGAATTGGCAATATTTGACAAAGGAAAAATATCTCCACGTAAATCAAATTGATTTTTGCAACCTAAATTTATCAATAGACATTGCCAATAATGATGGCAAATCTTCAAACAATCAGTAAATTGGAAAACAACCAAGGATTTGAAAGTGCTGTGGCACCAGGTTAGGTCAATACCTTTTGTCCTTTGCTAATGACGTGTTTAGATAGCTCCCTCTTTACAAATAATTCACATGTCAACTCTTTCACAGTTAAAACACTGCACCTGTCTGGGAGAAGAAAGTGGCTTCAAAGCCTGCCTTCCCTCATTAATCACCATGTGAAAAAATGTTAGAGGTAAAGCTGGACTAATCATGGGTTAGCAGCAACCCCTGAACAAACTGTTGCAGGGAGGAGAGAGAAATGAGGAACATTTGCTTAGAAATCACATTCAACTTTGTGTTTTTTTTTCTATTGCTTTCTTATTCATTCTCACCATTTGAGTGGAAATAAAGATTACTCTGCTTTTGTTGGAATTATTATTATATGCAACTTTTTTTTTCTGTTGTCCTGGTAAACTAATCATGTAACTCCAACACAGCTGTAGAGTTAATTTCTCTACTTCTTCTTCTTCTTTTTTTTTTTTTTTTTTTCCCTTTTTTAGCATTTTTTTAATTTATTTACTAAGAATTCACAACTAAAATGAAGAACGTGTTGTTGGTAGTGACATTATGGAGACATGTGCATTCTATTATTCTCAAGATGAAGCTAACTTCTCATTCTATGACTAATTTTTAAACTTTTACCCCCCGATATATTCAAATGAAAGCAGTAATATCACCTTATATAGCAGCTCAGAGTTACATCTTTTTTTCCCCTTAGGAAACTGTCAAAAATATTAGTCTTACTTGAAAATCTCAAGGTATTAGAAAAAAAATGCCAAGCCAATGAGTCATAATAAAATAAAAGAGTGAAAGCATAAGAGCTATAATTAGTCCCTAGGCTGCAGAATAAATCTTATTTTCTCCCACTCTTGATCTGTTTCTTATCGACCGAAGGATTAAGTCTGTGTCTGCTACAAAAATACTGAAATTCACTCCTGTTACAGAAATTAC